TCTCTCTCTGCTCTCTCTCTCTCTCTCTTCTCTCTCTTCTCCCTCTTCTCTCTTCTCTCTCTCTGCTCTCTCTCTCTCTCTCTCTCTCTCTCTCCTCTCTCTCTCTCTCCTCTCTCTCTCTCTCCTCTCTCTCTCTCTCTCTTCTCATCTCCTCTCTGTCCTCCCTTCTTCCTCTCTCTCTCTCTCTCTCTCTCTCTCTCTCTTCTCTCTGCTCTCTTTTCCTCTCTCTCTCTCTCTCTCTCTCTCTCTCTCTCTCTCTCTCTCTCTCTCTCTCTCTCTCTCTCTCTTCTCTGTCTCTCTCTCTCATCTCTCTTCTCTCTCTCTCTCCTCTCTCTCTCTCGTCTCTCTCTCTCTTCTCTCTTCTCGTCTCTCTCTTTCTCTCTCTCTTCTCTCTTCTCTCTCTCTCTCATCTCTCTCTCTCTCTCTCTCTGCTCTCTCTCTCTCTCTCTCTCTCTCTGCCTCCTTCTTCTTCTCTCGTCTGCTCTCCTCTCGTCTCTCTGCTCTCTCTGCTCTCTCTACTCTCTCTCTCTCTCTCTCTCTCTCTCTCTCTCTCCTCTCTCTCTCTCTCTCTCTCTCTCTTCTCTCTCTCCTCTCTCTCTCTGCCCTCTCTCTCTCTCTCTCTCCTCTCTCTCTCTCTCTCTCTCTCTCTCTAATTATACTCTATATATATTATAGAGCAACTTTCTAAACAAGCTTGAACATCGAGAGCAGCGTCTCAAAACGTCAGTTTTTAAACAAATTTACTAAATCTATGCGATCAAATAATGGCGAAGGAAATTCTTAACCTTACATCTAGAAATTACAGTTAAAAAAAAGAAAAATGCGCGTTCCAAGACAGTGTTTACAAACCCGTTTCTAAAAGCGTTCATCTGCCGAGATTTCAGCACGCCGTTTTGACCAAAATTAGTGGCCTTATCACTCATCACACAACGTATTTCGTGGAACATAGTTCTTACCTTTGTATCAAATCTTCTCTTTGCGGCGACTCTTGTCGACGTCGCTCTGTTCATAAAGTTTACTTTTAGAGAGTGTACGCGGTAAGTTTGTCATATGTCGCCATTAGGCGGCCAGGGTGTGCCATCCGGGCTCCGGGTAAGCGTCGAAATCTGCACCGCTACGAGATGTGCTGCCGCTCCGCCGGCAACTGTTTCTAGGCGCGCTAACCCCATTGGCCACCCAGGTTTGTAAGTGACTTGGATTGGTCTGCTACCAGAACAACGGCATAATGCCACACCGGAAGCAGAAGAAGCTGGAACATAGTATTTGCTAAGCATTATCTATTATAGATACTAAATTCTAAATAGTTACTGGAAGATGTCTTGTTAATAGTTATAATGTTTTATATTAAACAACGTAAGTATAACAAACGTACGAACGCTTCTAGTTTTGTTATTTAAATGTGTGCTACATTTTATTCTTAATGCATAATTTTATATTTAATGATAATATTACATATCATCAAGAGGCATATTAAAAGAAGGAGAGGCGTACAAACGGTAAAATGCTGACAATGTTGCCAGTATTAGTTGAAATTAATAAACTCTTTTTCCCGTTTTATTTTGACGATTCTTTGTAACTGACTAATCTAGTCGGTTGTTCGCGCAAAATACAGATTTTTCACTGCTCATTATGCTCAACGTAGCGGGCATCGTAGGGAACATGCGGTTTGCTATTATATGAACCAAGGTAGGGACAGCTGATCAATAATACTGCAAAGAATCGTCAAAATAACACGCGGGAAAGTTTTATAATTCGATAATACTGCAACATGGTTCAGCATTTTACCCGTTGTACGCTCCCTTCTTTATATGCTTCATTGATATCATCCATGTTTGCGTTATCCTAGAATCAATTTCTATACTTGAGACATGCAGTGAAATTTTGTTCATAAACTACTATTATACACATCAGTTATAGCGCCAAACAATATAGACACGCTGTGTTTGGATCCCCTAAATACCTGAGAAAATATGCCAGTCACTAAACTTTACCTTGCAATTTTTTTCTCTTGTTAAAAAAAATCTGTGCATTATTTTTCTTGATTGAGAGCAGCCCAGAAATCCAATTTTAGAATCTTCAATGAAACGTTTATGCTCGTTATTGTTTTTACCGTTACTTTCACATAAGTAACGTAAGAAGCTGTCACTTATCTAGTAATTACTTTGACCTAAAAGTTGTTAACAGCATTATTAGAGTAATTTTCATTAAAATACTAAATATTAAAAAAAGTATTGTATCCTACTCCTACTTCCAGGTATTTTATACTCCAGAGATATACATTAAGGGGTATTAGCAATAGAATAGAAATAGAATCAAAATTAGAAATCGTGTCACAAACTGATATGCTCACTATACAGCTCATTTAATTATTCTACAACATGTGATACACAGCATTACTGTAAAAAATGAAGCTGCCTGAAAAAGAACCTTAGTATCTCTATAACTAGAAGGTATAGAATCATGTAAAATAACGTGCGACACTGAACTGTTTCTTGTCGATTCATAAACACTGATGACAAATAATATGTAAAGTACTCAGTAGGGCGCAGGTATACATAAACAGCCAGCAATCGGAATACCTGCACAGCTTGCTAATGTTTACAATGTTTTGCTTAATAGAACTTGCCTGCTCTGCTGACCTGAGTGCTTCTCTAATTGATTTTAAATGGTTTTGTTTTTTACAGACAAATCATTCTCAATATACAATATGGTGCAGTCTACACTATTGAAAGGTTGTTAATATTTACGAATTGTTTACAACTTATTTGCCTGTGAATGGAGTGAAAGACATCTGCCAGGTTCTGACATTGGCTCTGAATGTACTGCAAGAAATACATCTTCATGGCTATAGACTTGGTTATCTAGACTTTTAGCAAAACAGGTGTTTACATGAATCTATTATTTTAAAGAGTTGTTTGAAAAACAAAGTTCAATTTCTGTGGAACTTTCAGTTTTGCTCGTTCCCTGTATCTGATACTTCTTTTTTATTTAAAAAAATCATTTTCAGAACATGATGTGTTGTAATGATATTACTACCGTGCTTACCAAGCTAACGTGCTGACATGCACCGGAAAGTTAATTGAAAATAAATCAAAATCTAATAGAACACGCCATAAAAATTGGAGAAATTAGGAAAACTAAACCTTCCAATCCCACTTTAACACAAAAACTATTGCCAGGTACGGCTGGACACACAAATACTTCACAGCTTGCACTCCCTCCTCAAGATTATATGAATTGTAGAAATAGCAGATCAATCGGTCTCATATTTTCACGTGGGCCATTCATACCAGCTAGCTCCTTACTCAACAGTGAGTTCAAATAGCTTCCAGCTCATCAAACTCTGCATTGAGTTTCTCGTAGTCCTGTTTCAACCAACTGTACCTAAAACAAATGAAAGAATGACATTACTGTATGGGCACAGTATGTTTGATGGACGCCTAACTACGTTGAATAGTAAGCGTCTGTTAAATACTCGGGATGCACCAGATATGCATCTGGAATGGGTTGAAGTTCTGGAGGCAGATCAGAACCGGCCTGGAAATTAAAAAAGGAACTTCTAACTTGGACATAAACATGCCAGTTTTGGTATTATATCATGCACAATTACTTCACTCGAAATGAACTAGCATTAGCAGGCATGTCACTCAGGGGTGTAGCGGCATGCCAGTCTAATGATACAGGATTGGTTAGGTGTCTGCTGCTTTCGGTACAGGAGAAGGATTCTACCCTAATGAGGGTGCTTTAATAGATTGCATAGGAACAGATTTACAGTTAGGCCCAGGAAGCACAATGCTAAAATTATAATTGCTGCCAGGTAGACTTTTCTTGCTAACAATGAAAGTGTCAATGACACTGATTAGCTGCACCACAGAAAAGGACACAAATGAGGAGTACGAAGAAGTCAGTTTTAAGTTGAGCAACCTATCGACGTACAATTATAGAAACGATTGCCACTGTTATATCGCAATAAATAATTTATAAAAACCAAAATGAATCACAATTTGTGACCGATACGATGCGCGATACCGCCTTTGTTAGCGACTTGGCGCTTGAAATAAATAGGTTATGCTGCGTTCCGACCATGTTTTGTAAATCTTTACTCTAATATAGACGTTTATCGGCCAGGTGGAGAGGACAATACCAATTTTGCATATAAAGATCATTGTCATGGAAAATCTTGTAATAACGAACCAGACGGCAGTGTGACACCACAGAACTGTTTGATGTTATATAATCATGCTATATATTGCCAACCCTACCTAATTTGCCATAATTTTTTTTAAATATCAAAAACCCCTCTAGCCCTTATTCATTCACATACCAAAATGAGCAAAAATCCGTGAACCTGAGCTGGACTAAGGCAATCCCATTTTTGCCAAAAATTGCCGTTGGCTCTGAAAGTACGTCGACTGGAGTGCCTCAAAATAGGACGTTCCATATGGGAGCATAGCAGTAAACAACCTACACCCAATATTCAAACATGTGGGGTCAAACGGTCTAAGTATCGCTTCACCGAAACCAAACTGTTGACGGGACGGACGAGGATACGCGCCGGCTTACGGACGGACAGACGGACGTACGACGACCCATGGCAATAGCTCAACTTGACGATGTCAAGGTGAGCTAAAAATGAAATAGGGGAAAAGTTCCAGTTTTGACCAGATCTAAGATCTGGTGCACCCCTAGTTAATTCTATTCAGATAATACTTGATTACCGTACATATAGATGGACATCAGATTCACCATCAATTTTTGCAAAGAAAATGGCGAAAATATTTTGTAGGTGGTTATAATTAGGCCCATGCGTCGGCAGTATGTGTTTGTGTGGCACGTATGTGCAAGGGCAGTATCTTTAGGCACACATACAACATTTATACTATTGTTATCATGATCCACTCTTTGGCTTGACCTGAAGGAGGGACATACACGTGCGGGGAACACACTTCGATAGAGGCAGCGAGTAATATTTCGGGGTTTTCGCGGCGCTCTACACTTACGGGAAACGAGTGCTTCCTGCATCGTTTCGTCGACCTTCCCTGACACTCCGCCTCCTCGTGCGCACGATCGGGCAGGTTGCGCTTCTTCTGTGACGCTGCAGCGGGACTGCAGAGGGCGCCGCGCGTCCTCCTTGCGCCGCTCCCGCTCAACGACAGCCCCGAATCTCTGAAACTTTCCGACTCGGCCGGCTTCCTCCGTGCTACAACGCCGGGGAAGCTCGCGCCAGCCCTGACCGCGCGCGTCTGCGAACCCGTCTTTGCCACCGCGCTGCGTCCGCCGGCCGTCGAGAGCGCCGACGCCACCGCCGACGTCGACGACAACTCTAGTCCGCACCCGGAGTCCTCGAGGAGAGCGGACGCGTCGATGTCACGGCGCCGGTGCCCCACCGACGTCCCGACCGAGCGCCGTGCCAGCTTCGTGACAACGGGCGACGGCAGGAGGTCCGACTCGGAGACCAGCGCGTCGAATCCGAAGCAGTCGACCCACGGTGGAGGCGTCGCTTTGACGATCGGCGTCGATGCGTGCATCGTTGTCTTGACGATCGGCGTCGACGCATGCATCGTTGTCTTGACGATCGGCGTCGACACCTGCATCGTTGTCTTGACGATCGGCGTCGATGCGTGCATCGTTGTCTTGACGATCGGCGTCGACGCATGCATCGTTGCCTTGACGATCGGCGTCGACACCTGCATCGTTGTCTTGACGATCGGCGCCGACGCGTGCATCGTTGTCGTGACGATCGGCGTCGACGCCTGCATCGTTGTCTTGACGATCGGCGTCGACGCCTGCATCGTTGTCTTGACGATCGGCGTCGACGCAATGCAACGAATGTCACGATGACAAAGACATGTCGTAATTCACATGTATACCTGTATACGATATTCACCTGAATACGGTACTCACCTGTGTTTTCGATGGCTCGCGGTAATGCCAGCATACCTGTGCCCGCTATCTCACCCACGATGAACAGAGCCGCCGTAACAACAGTCAGGCTTCCGTGCGGCGTCTGCTGCGTATTCCCGTCATCGCCATCGTCATCGTCGTCGTCGCCATCGTCATCGTCGTCGGCAACATCAGGAAATAATGTCGCCGTCGACATTTCATCGTTTCCAGGATTCTTCATCGAGTACACAGTTGATGATTTGTTCAAATTAAAATCACGAAGCGAGTGCTTTTGCGCATAGCATTGTATTCACACACACGAACGCACACACGCGCACGCACACACACACACACACACGCGCGCACGCACGCACCTACGCACGCACGAATCACGTGGAAGAGATAGTTAAAATTTTGTCCGTTTAGATTTGTAGGTATTCTATGTAAATTCCAGGCATGCAATGTAAGAAATCTCCGTGTAAAACAAGTACGGCATAAGTATGGCGTATGCACATATATATTACCACGTGAGAGAATATGCCGCCCCCTTGGAACAATCACGTGGTCCTATTGACACGTGACGCGAATTGGTTTTACGACAAACGATCAAGATTGCTGAGATAAATATGAAGTTTATACGAACGTCATAAAGACTGCACATGTAACGCAACTTCTCCAGTGTAAATACACGTATCTGTTATTGATCTATATTTTGGTATTTACGATGGTAGGGTATAATATTCTAACATCTCTGGCCGCGCTCAGCGGTTGTAGAGTGCAGCAGGGGATTGTATTTTCCGTCTGCTTCATAGACGTACATTCATTTGAGCAGATATTGTGCATAGGCATGAGTCTAGGCTACACTAATGTAAACGAAAAATCGGGAATAGCAGGGGCTTTATCAACGTAAGGTATAGGGATAGTGATATCTCATTTCAAACTATTGCTGAGTTTTTCTTCTGTAAATTTAAAGTATAGTTTCAATGTAGTACTATCGCATTCATTTTAGAAGGAAATGGCTGGAAATTGGCATACTTATATCGGGTAGGCAACTCACGCCGTCTATTGGTTGATTTAAATTTTATTAGTTTTACGTCAGTCAGCTGGCCTCCTCCTCTTACTAAACATCGGTGACAAATTTCGTATCAATCTACTGCGACGAATATTCGCTGTATATTTTAGAAGTACAATTTTAACCAAATACCATTTTATTCGGCAGATGTCTAGCATGCACCATCATGCATGTGAGCTTATGCTACAGTGTAATTATAGGAAAACTCTGGAAGACTCCACGCCTTATCAAAGTGCAGTATAATGATTAATGAGACCTACTTTTCATGTCGAACTATTGCTGAGTGACCCTTTTCAAAATAAAAAATATAATTTCAAGACAATACTATTAAATTCATTTAGATAAAGCATGGACATATGTAACGTTGAATTTAACGTTACTTGACTATTGTTGTTTGCTATGTTATGTTTCGCCAATACATAGATAAGAGAAGCCAATCAGAGAATATATACCATGATTGATGTTGCTTTTAATTTAGTTCACTACACGGTTACAAGCACACGGTCGCGTCTGGAGTCGGGAGCGAGTTCCTCGAGACAGAGGAGAGAGAGGGAAGGCGAGGACGATAAACGGCGCACGCGACGTCGCCGCGTCTCGAACGAACACCCGAGTCCGTATCTCGCGGGGGGGGGGGGATCATTTCTGCGTGCCATCTTATGATCTAGGAAATAACCCCTGCTCGCTATGGTTGACAGTGTGTGTAGCTGCCTCAGAAGGAAAGCACAGCAGAGGGCATGAAACACCATTACGTGTCAGCTATTTAGGTTAGCAATTACCATTTAATATTATATTAACATCGTGTATCTAGCTGCATCATCATGTCCTAGAAGAACTCTGGTCTAGCATATATAACACAGTTCACAAAATATATGAGAGAGCTAGCTACTTTCTCTAAATGTGAGTAATAAATACGAGACAATAGAAACACGCAAAAAGGTTAATGAAAACCATAAAAAATGGATTTGGTATGTCTAAAATTAATGACTCCAACACTTAAATGCCATATTACTTAAATTAGATTGCCACTGCAGATATAATCTGTACAATCGAAAATACTGCTTACATCTAGGTACTTTAAGGATAGTCGCTCAATGATCAGCCGGGGGCTGAGGGAATTTTCGATGTTGTCAATTCTGGTTCTTGTAGTAGCTGCGACATCTGCACTGCCACCACGTACAGCCCCAGCAGACTTTATTTTGGACCTCGGCTCTCGCTTTTTAGTACAGCGATTGGTTGAGCACACTTCATCACTTGAAGATAAATCTGCCAACACTGAAATACATACATAATCTGTTTAAGTCTAAAACTACCAATGACAGTACAGTCTGTACATATATGATATATACACATAGGTTTATATATCTCTAACACAGTTTCAACAAGGTTTTAGGGCTGCAACAATAGGCCATAGACCTCCAACAAACATAATGTGGCAGGGCTCTAATGCTAGAGTGAAATAGTGGGGTAAAATGGTTTAACCTAGCATTGTTAACGACTTCACACCTATGCAAAAATGACAGTTTCCCCTATCATACCGCTGGATGATACTTTAGGGCATCCGGTCTACACTACACTATTAGCCACAAGAAATAATCCCCGAAATCTTTCTTTTATTAGTGACTACGTGTGAAGTGAGTGTACAAAAATAGTGAGTGTTCACACATCGTTACCCAACCATTTAATTCTCCAATGAAAGCACTTCCATTTCTGCAGGGAATGTGGCATCTAGCTGGAATGTAGAGATGGGCAGTGTGCAGGTTGTATGTAACACACTATGAATCCATGTTGTAATGTTTGGACTATTAAATAATGATCATGAATGTATAAAAAATAAATTATATATTAATCGTAATTCTCAGCCCTCGACACTAACGCTTGTCCAATTGCCCGGGACAAGTGAACGTCTATGTCGGACAAGTTATTCTCTTGGCTAAAATTCTAGTTGTTTATATATTCGTAACATCCTTTGAGCCAGGGTGCTATATCGCGCAATATTCTCAAGTTTTATTTTCAAAGGATCGCCGAAAAAAGTAGCCCGCAACACCCATCTCCTCTACATTTACCATTACAGAACACCAGTGCGCACAGCGTGGCTGCGCACGTACGTGGCACAGCATTGATTGATGTGGGGGGGGGAAGTGCACGATTGTCGCATGGGGCATGTTCATTATTTACGGAATATGTAGCAGGTGTGGGCGCCGCTGGGATGAGAGAGCAACAGCAAAACTCTTTCCTGGAATTGAGGAAAAAGCTCCAATCGGGTATGACACACAATGACATGCCGGCACGTGAAAAAAAAACGTGTGAGTTTCATTACGATTTTCCATATATAGATAACAGGGTGCGAAATTAACGAGGAGTCCGGAGTCAAATACTCCCCGATTTACTGTCGGACTCCTTGATTTGACATATATGCAGGAGTCCGTGTGACTCTCTGAAAATTCTGCCATACAAACTAGTTCGTTCCAGAGCATGGCCTCGCGGAATTACCACATTTTCTCAGCAAATGCCCAAAGAAACTTTGGCAGACGTGCAACTGCATAAATCTTCAAAATAAGCACATGTATGCATTATTGTTAATATCTTTCATTTTGAACTTCAGACTGCGGACTCCCTCACTCCCTCATTTTGTGGCGGACTCCCTCTTTTTGAGGGTAGAGTCCGTTGAACTCCCGTGTTCAAAAGTTAATTTCTACCCCTGTATAGATACTGTAATATGATATGCACTGAACCATAATATGGACCCTCATGGACGGCTCATAGTTAGTAAGTAAATATTGGATAAGTAAAATCAAAATCCGGACATGTAAAAATTGCTTCTTGTTGCCCGACAGGACAGCCAGATCTGAAAATAAGCGTCAAGGCTTGGTTCTAGTGGTAGTAGTACTAGCAGTAGCTCTAGAACTATAGCCGCGTTCACACGGAGCAATTGTCCCGGGTCGACACTGGCGACGTCTACCGCCGTACTAATTTTGTCCCGGGTCGTGTGTCGGTGCGCGTTCACACGACAAAAATGAACCAGCACTCGGGTCAAAATGACACGGGTCGTTTTTGTACCGAGAAAACGTCCGTGCGAACGCTTGGTCCGGGACGCATTTAGCCCGGGTCGCTTTCGACCCGGGTCAAATTAGAGCTATACTACTAGTACTACTACTACTAGTACTAGTAGTAGTACTACTACTACTAAACCGACCAGGCTCTCCGACTGTTACACGTCGTAGGAACAAGTAGGCCAACGTAGTGTTAAGCGAGAAGGGAACTTGTGCTGTGGCTACTAGTACTAGCGCTGAGAGGGTCTATGTCCCCCGGGGTACTGCCGGAACGTACCCTGGTACTATCTAATATGCCGGACGGTACCTCGCCTACTCCACTAACGAGTCTGGGAAGTCGCCTACGCCTACTCCCTAACCCTAACCCTAACCATATCAAATAGTGACCAGGGTACGTTCTGGTATATCGGACCGTACCCAGGGTACGTTACGGCAGTACCCTGGGGGATATAGACCCTATGAGCAGTACTAGTAGTAGTAGTACTAGTAGTAGTAGTACCAGGAGTAAGATAATATAGGACCTATATTAGCTCTAGTAACTATAGCCCGCGTGCAGTTGGCGCAAGCGCCTGCGGCAACTGTACGCGGGCTATAGTTACTAGAGCTAGACCTATATTATCTTACTCCTGGTAGTACTACTACTACTACTGCTAGTCTAGTACTAGTACTAGTAGTAGTAGGCCTAGTAGTAAACCGACCAGGCTCTCCGACTAGTTACACGGTGGAGGAGGCGGAGGAGGCCGACTAGTTACACGCCACGTAGCCCGAACAGGCTGTGCGACGGATTGTCTATACATTCTATACCCGGTATTCTAAC